TTACGTACAATCAACTTGGATGTTTAAGTGATTTTAACTTAAATTACATTAAACTGACTAAAGTTAGACTTACATTAAACTAAAAAAAATGAGTTGAATCTTGTATAACAGCAATGCAAAAACATGTCATAACTTATTGATCATATTCATTTTTTATAATTAGCAACAAACGCTTGCGCAAATGCTAATGCGTGGCCAACACAAAATGAACGAATCGCTCTCTGAGACAACTCCTTATTCCAGAGTCATAGAAAAGAAACATTCAAAATGAACGAATTGTCTATGATCGACATATCATTAAAATGTTGGTCATTCATGCATACGGAAAATACACAGTTTGTCCTCAGTACACATTCTGCTTACAACAGAAACATAATATTAATAGTATGGTTAGACGCTGTTCGCTATTGAGACCACAATCAAACTTTGTTATAATGTCTATAGGTGCTAAGAAACATAAGCATTTAAAACGTAACCATGATGATAACATAACTATGATGATATCTGCATACGCGCTTGCATAGATCATGTCAAATGATCTAAAGCTTAAACACGTCTTTTGTGGCCTTTTGATCACAACAATTTCCCTCTGGAAATGCTAATGTCGTTATTATGATCGCCATTATCTGAATACTCTGGCCACACTGTAAACACAGAGGCTAATAAAACCCTGACAGACACCATGCAGTTCAATTAACAGAGCTTTACTATAGCATTCCTCTCTTTAATGGGAAAGAGCAGTGGAAATGGCTGTGGTATGCCTCAGGGAGAGTTTATAGTCACTCATACTTCTGTCTGTTTTCACTGATGTGATTCTTGTTAAATGTGGATAATAAAAAATATTCCCCTATTTCAGCAAAATTTCTCTTTTTCTCTCTCTCTGCCCCCACCCCTTTTCTGTCTTTGAGCTAAAATTATGACTTTTTCTCCCTTGCGGAATTAAATATAGAGTGCCAGAAAGCCCAGAAGAGTGTTTAAATGGTTATTTTTCTCATTTGCACACACATTCTTCATGCGGAGGGAGGCTTTCATGTTTTCATTCTCTCTCTCACTCTCTCGTTTTCCTTTTATCTTTTTGGTGGGGCTGATTTTCCTCTGGCAGGACACAGCAAAAAAAAAAAAAAAAAGAGAGAGAGAGAGAGAGAGAGAGAGAGATGCTTGCCTTTATTCTGGTCCACACGTGGCTTCACTGTCTCTCTGTGCAGTGTGTTAGTTGTGCTGGTTGGTCTTGTGGTCAGATATCAGTGCAAAGAGATCAAAATGAAGCATGTTACTGTTTCATGGATTAAGGTGATAAATCTAGCACAGCTGGATCTCAAGAGGATAAAACCTGGATTTAATTCAGTTAAAGTGGTGTATAATTACAAACTTAAATGTGGTGGCATCGCTGTAAAAAGCCCCTTTTGGAACCTTTATTTTTAAGAGTGTATCCTATATTTCCAGCTAAGCCATTTAAAGGTGATTTTTGGCAAATGACGTTGCAGCTTTACACAGAATTTTAGTGCTAACATGTGAATGGTTGAAATGCGTTATACAATCATTACATGTGTAAATGACAAATGTGGTACATTCACCGCAAAAAGCAATTTCACCTCAATATAAGAAGTGCAAGACTGCTTTTGTTCAGAGATAAAGGCTAAAGCCTGCTGACACAACAAACACACACCCACGCTTACCCATCACATTTCTTGAGAATCTAATGATGGACACATGTCCCAGGAAGCAGATCAAAGCCTTTGATTACTAAAACACACACCCTGACCCAATGCAAAACATTTCAGCAGTATCCACCCGAAAACTGCCGGGTTTTGGAAAAACAGACATTCAAACTCTGTCTGCAGTTTCAAATTCCCTACTGACTTATATTGACACACACAGACCAAGTCAACACAAACAACCTGAGAAAACGGTTCCTCTACGTACCTGATGCCCACAGTCAGATGCCCACAGTTTAGTCAACCCTTTTGAAAAAGAAATACACACATACTGTATATATATATATGATAATTATTTTTTTAAATACAATTTGATTGCTGTAATTTCATAATTACTAGTATTGTCTAGTTAAAGTATGGATAAAGTGTAATGCCAAATGTACTGATAAGCATTTATGGAAAACTTAAATATATTTTAATGAGATTTCTATTGAAACGTGTATGTCATGTAAGGAAAAACTGTTTGTATGGATGAAGTTTCAATTTAGTCTATTTAAAATATATTAACTTTTAATAATAATATTACATAACACACATTTAACCTACAGTTTAAATTATAATCAAGTACTCATGCAACAAGTTGGTTCGCAAATACGATGTGAATACTTTTGCTATATTAAGTTTATCTCAGCTGATCTAAAGAAGTACAACCCAGCCATAGAAAATACAATCATAAAAGAGATCTCTTTGATGCACACATAAGCAGAGTGTAAGTAAAGCAGCAGCATAACTGCAATAGCAGGCTAGCATTGTGCTTTTAAACAACATCTTCAACTCAACAAATCTGAGCTCTCCTTTAAAAGCCTTGAAATATCATCAGAGCTGTAGATGTTGAGTTGCAGAGTCACATGTGGGTTTGCGTTGTAGTGTTTCTAATCAGCTCTGCAGTTACTCGTCATGAGGAGAACATGTGTATGTAGGGTGGAACGGAAATGGCTGGCCGCAATTGCACTGCTCAGCGTGATCCTTATCCCTTACTCTGATGAATCTAAGGCAAACTAATCTGCAGCAGAGTATTGCTACTGTATCTGGCATACTTTACTGGGACTGTACAAACTCTCCAGCATTTCTCCACCACTGTAGTCCACCCAGACAGCAACATAAGTGTCGGCCCAGATAAGGGCCACATCTGGTACATGTGGATTCAACGGGTACCAGATGTGGGCCGGATCTGGGTCAACACTATGTTGCTGTCTGGGCAGGCACGTTTAGGTAAATTTACACTGCACAGACGGTGAACAACAGCAACAGACACTTCGTTGGGTTTTAACAGATCAGTGTGTAACCCGTCACCATCTGTTGGCATTGGTTGGTGCTTGTTTTTACCGATTGAACAGCGACGTACTGTAATCTGGTGATTGTCCCAGATGGTCAGCGTCGGTCGGTGCAGTGTGAATTGGTCTTTTAATTAAATTAATTTAAGTTTCTAAACATACATTCCGGAAGAGTAGGACCATCTAATCTTCTAATTAACCACCAGAGCATTCATGCAGCCACTTACATTACTCTGGTGTCAGTTGTTCCGGCAACCCGCCACCTCCCCAACACCACATCTATACTTTAGGTGTCTTGCCTGTAATCATCCCCATGCATAGTAGTCCCATATGGGGTATATTAGAGCTTGAGTTGACCCTCCTCCATTGCAGACAGCGAGATAAACTTGTTTAACCATCCATCTATTCTTTACTGTCCTATGTAGGATTGCAGGGATGCTAGAGCTTATCGCAGCATCTTGGGCCTTAGGCAGGGAAACACCTTGGATGAATGGCCAGTCCATCACAAGGATACAAACGTGTTTGGCCTTTACAGTTAAATGATTAAATGGGAGTCGGGACTCATGAAACTGCAATTTAATATGCCAAAAGTGCACTCAACTACACTCAACATCCAGTTATAACAATCTTCCCCATTATATGACAAATTACTGCTGCAGGTTTCCAGTCCAGGTAGGCATAAGAAATAAACCTGCATGTCCTTGTTCCCCAAAGTTGTGTAGAACTTCTAATCACACTGAAACCATCCGATCATTTCTGCCAGAACTTGACCTTTTTTTTGCCAATGGTTTTGGGTGGTCCATGGCCATGCCCTCTGAGGCAAACTGGTAACTTATTAAGCCAAGAAAATGGAGAGAAAATAAACAGCAGAAGTTGATCAGCCAATGGAAGAGCAGAAACATGAAAGAGAATCTCGCTCTCCAGTCCACAACTCTTTGAGAGAGACCTTCAGCCAAACCTCACAGTACCCGAGGACCTCAAGCTGTCAGGCGCCCCACGAATGTAATGACTTACACATACAACTGACATTACCACATTTACGCCTAATCAGCAATGGATGGAGGGAGTCCTGCAGGAATAGGTCTGCCAAATGTGAAAATTTGGTCGTCATTTATTTACTTAAATATCTAGTGGTCAGGTTCTTCAGTTAAATCCTTTCAACTCAGGAAGTTTGTGGGATTTTTTGTGACTTTTTGCTAAATACAAAGAAACTGCAAAATGTTGTATTTAACTAACAATACTTGCATGTCATTCAGAAGTTCTTAGTTATGAATATATTTGAATTATCTGCCTTATTATCTAACCATATGTTGGCATAGAGTAAGTGTATAGAGTTATAAAATGAATGTTCAGTTCAGATCATTTGGTCTAGGAAGAATTTGATTAAAAAAAGATCTCTGACATTTGATCTTAGCATTTGGTATCTTGGCAATTCTGAGCAGTTTGTTGAAATCTCATCTGGAACTCTAGAAGACACACATTACTAGGTTCTTTTTCTCAGGAAACAAAGCAGGAGAATCTGTCTAGAATAAACAACTGAAATATTAAAGAGACCTCCTTTTCCTTTTTCGTCTTTGCATTTGATTCTTTCGCAACCCTTTCAGTGAGATTATGCTTATTCTTTATCACAATCACAAGGTTGTTTTAGGTTTGTCTGCCAGCTTGTATCATAATAAGCAGAGTCTGTGAACCTTGCCAGCCATAAACCAAAGTGCTGCTGTTCATTTTTCCAGCACCCTTGCATTCAGCCATCTCAAATTTCCCAGATTAACTTTTCCTCCGAAGGCAAAACCACAGGTAAAAAAGCTCTGAAGAGACTAAACATGAGCACTTGCCGGATGAATGCCCTGTCACAGGCTGTCACGCCGGGCAAGGAAGATGAGTACTATGATGAATGTTAAATGTGTTAATGAGAAAAGTAGCAGCACGTGCCTGTGCTCGCCTGCGCTGCCAGAAGCTGCAAACCAAGTTTGAGAAACAGAAGAAGGGAAAGAAAGGACCTATCCCTTACCTGGAGAGATCTCTCCTTCACTCTGATCCCCAGAATCTGAGTCCATCTCTCCACAAAGAACCTCTCCTCTCCTCTTTTCACTCCACTTCCTCTGTTTCTGTCTGTCTCTGTCCTGTCCCTCCACACTGAAAACTGTTTTCTTGAGCTCAAATGCACAAGCCCTCCGTGTTCAGAATTTAACTGACTCAATGAGTGCGCGCTATTTGCCGAGCGCCTTTTTTGTGCAGTCAGACTGCCTTCTTTCACTGACACTCTCTTGCTTCCACTTTCTCCTCTCGTTTGCTTCCTTCTCCTCCTCTCTCTCTCTCTCTCTCTCTCTCTCTCTCTCTCTCTCTCTCTCCCTCTGTCCCTCCTCCCCTTTCTCCCCTCGGCTCGACATTGTGATGCCTACAAAAACATCAAGAGGAGGAAAACTCTGTCTCTCTTTGAGTTGATCTCTTGCCTGTGAGGAATGTTTTGTATGTTGGGGAGGTTTTTGCATTCAGGCATTTTAGTGTGCTATTTAAGGGGCAAGTTTAGTTTTTAATGTTCGAAAATGCTTTTTGGATGGACAAGTGAATGGCAAATGACAGCAGTGCGGAAGGTGCTGCTTTAGAGTGTCTTTGCCACACCATCCAGCACAAAAATTAATAGAGTAACAGAAGGAATAGGTGCCATCAACAGGTCAAAGTTTTGGCTGGTTAGTGTGGTTCAGTTAGCCCCTGCTGGTAGATGATGTAACTACACCATTATGGGGCAAAAAGCATCTTTCTTCTTTGATGGTCATTTGAAGTAGCTTTTTATTGTGATGAAAGAATTCCCTTTTCATTGTATAAAGTAGAGGCTGTATAGTTTTCTGAGTTTTCCCCCTGTCTCCTGCCTTTGACACACAGCTCTGTATCATCGCTGGGTACGGGTTTGGAACTGTGCGTTCTCATTGTGCCATCAGTCAGATTTTAGATTGCTTAGTCATAAATATAAAGCTTGAATTCAGATTGATTTCTGTCCCTCCAAAAGTAATAACTACATATTATTTTATAGATATATCCAAAGACATTCATAATGTCCCATGCAGGGCAGCCATGCAAGTACAGGTCATATCTTCTTGAATGGGAAGACGAATATCATTTGTCGGAATTACGTTTCTATAACATTTAAAATCCCGTTGTCCCGTACTTGTGACGAGCTGAAAGCAGATAAGCTTCCCAAATATACACTACCGTTCAAAAGTTTGGGGTCGGTACGATTTTAAATACTTTTAAAAGAATTCTCTTCTGCTAACCATGGCTGCGCTTATTTGATTAAAAATACAACAAAAATCAGTTATAGTATTAAATATTATTCCAGTGTAAATCAGCTGTTTTCTGTGTGAATATATAGTAAAGTGTAATTTATTCCTGTGATCAAAGCTGAATTTTCAGCGTCTTCAGTGTCAAATGATCCTTCACAAATCAGTATAATATGAGGATTTGATGCTCAAGAAACATTTATTATTATTATCAATGTTGACAGTTGTTGGTCTGTCAGTTGTACAGTTTTGTTTTTTTGGATTCTTTGATGAATAGGAAGTTCAAAAGACTTTTGTAACATTATAAATGTCTTTACTGTCACTTTCGATCAAATTAATTATTCCTTGATAAATAAAAGTATTGATTTCTTTCCTCCAAAAAATAAAAATAAAATTCTCACTGACCCCAAACTTTTGAACGGTAGTGTATGTTGTTGGCCTAAAAAACATTGGCGGGACCGAACACAACCATTTCAAATTTGTCTTTGTTTAAAGATACATTTTTTTGCTAGCCAATTTTTGACCATGTCCATGCACATATATACATACAGTATATTTATTTTTTTGTCGAAGGATAATTTATTTTGATCTGTAAATAAATCTGGGTATCATCAGCGTAAAAATGGAAAGACACTTGCTTATATGGAATCCAACAGTAGCATGTACAAGGAAAAGTGAGTTGGCCCCAGAATCGAGCCCTGAGGGAGACTGTGGCGAGCAGAACGAGGGCCGTGGAAGAAAGTCGCAAAGCCGGTTGCGTGATTGTTGATGAGCGACACCTGCACGACGCACCAATCTCGTATCTCTCACGAAGGAGCGGAAGCATAAAAGGAGGAGCGACGAGAGATTTGTGAACTGGATTTATGTTGTTTTGTTATGTGACAGCAGTCATCCGTGAGGGGCTGCTGTCTTTACTTTCGTTTTGTATTTGTTTTGTTTTGTTATTAAATTCTTTAAATGTTCACCGGTTCCCGCCTCCTTCTTCCCATAACCTCTGAACTGCATTACAGAGACCAGATGAGATGAGCAACAGAGGAGAAGTGATTACCTAAACCTGACCAAAAACTTTCTGTCTGATAAATTACAATTGAAACCACTCAAGGACCATTCATTTTAACCCCACCCATGACTCTAATAAATATATCAATGTAGAGTGCTCAACAGTATCAAACGCAGCAGATAAATCTAAAAGAACTAGGATCATATAAAATATTATTTAACACTCTTAAAAGAGTAGATTCCGTGCTATGCTCAAAACCAGATTGAAAGATTTCAGAAATACAATTGCAGTTAAGACTGGAGCTGCACAAATTTTTTTTTTTCCCAGTAGAGTACTTATTACTGAAAATAATATACGTTAAAAGAATATACATAAAAGTATACTGAATGGCATGTTTTCTGGCACTTGATTGTATGTTGGTAACAATTAAATAAAAATGCATAATAGTTTACATAAAATTAAGTAATGTCATAATTACTTATTGTGTTCGAAATACTGTATGATTAAAGTGTACTGCTGAATGTACTGACACATATTTATGGTAAACTAAAATATACTTTTAATTCATGTATTGTAATATTTAGGCCTATCGTATGTATTTAAATATATTTGTAATTACACATTTGTAATGATGAAGTTGCAATTTAGTACATTAACATATTCACTTTAAATGTTATATCAGATAGCAAAAAAATATATAATTAAGTACTTTACGTGTGCTTTAGTATGTTAGTCATGTAAGACTGGAAGAACTGGAAGAGAGGGCTACTTTCTGAGAAAATCAAGGAAATTAACATTGGAACTCTCTTGCTATTTTACCATCCCCATTTGAGACATGATCACACTTGAGTTGTTCACCTCCCAATTTACATATCATTCCCTTCACCCATCTCTACCTAAATTCACACAAAAATCTATTTGGTTTAATGTGAACAATTATCATACAGTATTATACATGTTTGGTATCATTTGAAATGTCTCAGTGCGACTGGTACAAAGGTCTAATTCCCACAGAAGTAAACCAAAAAGGTAATAAGGTGTGGAGAGTTAAGAGATATCTTGTTAACTGCAGGGGGTGTGATCAACTTCTGTCCCCAGTACGTCTGGGACTGTGATTAATGCAAATTCCCATTGTGAACTCATGTTTACATTTGAAAAGAGGTTTCTGCCTTGGTCTGAGTATTTAGGGAGATGCTGAAGAGGGTTCAGAGCGCGATTTGTAGTTCAAATCAGCCTGTGATCCTGAGTGTGCTCAAGACACTCAGCATCATGTATTTTCTAATGTCAGGTTCACATCTTTTCTATTTATTCCAGAGGATTTGATGTTTTGTATTTATTATCTTTAAACTGCATATGTAATTGGCATGATACATTTACCTGATAAAATAAATTGTAACATTTGGATTTATTCTGACTTACTCTGAAATAATTAACTTTAGTAGATTACGTTGTATCCATTGTTACAGCAAAGCTGCGTCAGATTAGTAACGGACTAACGTCCAGTTTTGAGTGGAGCATATAGGGCATACCAACGAGTTCCGACTAATATTTGGCACTAATTTAAGTGTATTTGGGATGTAAAGACAAAAAGGGAATTTCCGTTTAGGACAGCAAAATGTTGCTGCGCCTGAAAATAGGGCACCTTCCGTCAACACAACGGAACTATTTTCAGGCGCTGCGTCATATCATTACGCCTGCTGCTCTCATGGTACGGCAGTGAAGTTTCTTGATTATTACGCAGGAATGAGAGTATAGTTCCTAGCCATATCAGCCTAGAAAATCGCAACTTTACATTTTCCGTCGGTCTTAGTGCACGATGTAACTACAGAAGAGTCAAGTTTTAAATAGGAAAAATAGCGAAACTCCTTGGTCATTTTTTTTTTAGAAATGCTAATGGTCTTGTCCACTTCAATGATGTATGCTAAGCTATGCTAAAAGTGGTACCGCCAGAACCGGAGATCGGCTGAATGGATTCAAAAACGGTAAAACTCAACAGTTTAACTCTGGGGGAGTTGTAAAATGAGCCTATTTCCAAAAAAAGTGGAGTATCCCTTTAACTCTGTTTAATGTAATGTTACTCTAGTTAAGTTTACGTGGGAAACCATGGCATGACCAAACCAAAGCTACTATCAGAGAAGTAATATTGGTCGGATATAAATCTGTAGTAGTGGCCATGACCTCTGACTGAAGTAAACGTTACTTTAATTCAAGTGTATAAGGGGGCTATACAAAATATCTTAGAGTAAGTGTGAATGCGACCATCCAAGATATTACCTCTGTTTAGTGACCCAAAACTGATGAGTTTGTGATCGTGGGCCCACATATGAATGGCTGGTGTGAGGACCCTGGCGACTTTGGCACCTGAATAAACGAGAATAAGAGTAAAGAGTTAAATAGAATAATCAAATGAGATGCTAAACTATTATATAAATGAACAATAACTAATTGGTATTCTAACCTAAATTCAAGGTTGTGATAAAATGGAGTCAGATAAAAGTTTAATTGGAATCAAATTACTTTGCCACGCGGAAAAGACAGTAACATGCAGTAGACCTTCACCAGCTTATCAGAAACTGTCGTTGGACCAATTGGGCAGGCCTTACAGTCAACACATCAAAATAAGTGTACTTCTTTAAAACATGACAAAAAAGTATTAAAACTGAATGATTTAAAATTTCCATTCTAAAGTAAAACTTTTAATTTTACATTACCAAGTGGATTAAATCATAAATCATGTTAAATCTCTTTTATTTCATTTATATTGTATTATCTGCAAATACAGTAAAAAAAAAAAAAAAAAAAAAGATATACTTTTAAGATTTGAAGTAGCCTACTACAAGTGCACAGGCAATACAATTAAGCACACTTCTTTTTCACAAGGCTATGACAAATTGCTAGTGATGTTCCTTGTTTCTAAGTCACTTTGGACAAAACATGCAGCCCATTCTCATCCCTAGGCGTCATGAAACTGACGCCTTGGGAATCATTTTGACCATGCTTCAATATTCAACGCTTTAGGCACCCTTT